CCTTGGCCATGGAGATTCCTTCACTTGTGTGAGAAGCCCAGTCTTACACCCTCCTACGTGGTTGCTGCAACTACTCACGGGTCCCCTGCGCCCTGCTTCCTCCATCGTGGGGTCCTTCTTCGGAGAGAGACGTCCGGGTCGCCGATCCTTATCCGGTGGGTGGTTTCACGTTGCCCTCTCGGTCGACCAAGCACCTCTCGAAACCAGTGCTCGATGCGAGAGCGGGCCCTTTTCCTCCTGTCCTATCCCCCTGGGATAGGACCCTTATCCGGTCGAGCGGCCGCTCGATTCCGGGGCGGTCCCTGGAGCAGTGTCGGTGGGTACGGGCGATACCGGGTCCTCCGCTTTGTATCGACCCCCATCGCTACGGCTCTGTAATCGCGAGCGGTAACTCGGCGCGAGATTACCACGTGATTAGTTTGAATTCTACCAGTAGCATTTCCCTACGAATCCTCCAGGAGCGCTCGGATGTTAATTCGCGCGAGTTAGAAGTTGCGGGGGGGGGGGGGGGGAGGCGGTCCGGTTCTCGGTTCTTCCGTGCCCGAGTCGAATTTCGGGCCGGAAGGGGCAAGGCGCAAAATGCGTCGTAACAACACATATCCTATATTCTACTGTACTTACATACAATAAGTAACGAAAAATTCAATCGACAGTGTGCCAAATCTATATTTTTATAATATATGTTGTGTAATTTATTTAGAGAGATTTGTACAATTTTTAGACATATAATGAACATTTTGACTATGCACGCGTTCGGATACTTTCGTTATTCACTGTATACTGTATTGTATATAACCTTTTTCGCATGCTTTTTATACCTGTACTGGTATATTTTGGTGTTTCATAAACGTTTAGTGTATTCTGGGATTGCAAAGTCCTTCCTTCACGCCTTCACGCGCCAATCCTGTTCATATTACATAACATACACACGTACGTATCTACGTATACATGTTGGTAATGGAACTAAGGTGAAAGAAAGGCATTTATTTCATGTTTTAACTTAATAAGGCTAATAATTATGCACTTACATTCAGGTTGAACGTGTATTGTCTAGGAACATACAGGGTGATCCTCTCGTTGCTAAGGTGGAAAGGCAAGGCGCCTGTTTTGTCGCTTAAGTGCCATGTCTGTAAATGTGTCATTGATAGCTTGCTCCTTCTGGGCGACCTGTGTGTTTGATAGGGAAAGTACGAGTGCTGTTCTCGCTCTATCACTGTCACGCACGTGGTACACTCGACAGGGGTAGCTAGCGGCTCTTAAACGTGTCATTCACTATCAAATTTGGCAAGAAAGATAAATTGATTAACATTTTGAAACTAAAAAATGAAGCTCTGTTTACTTTATCTTGATGTTTTATTTGAGTAATAATGTATTTGACAAATAAATTATTGAATTATTTGTTTTATTTGAAATTTAAATGTTTGTTATTTAATTTGATTGACAGTTGTAACGTGACTAGGATAGTGCGTAACATTTTAAGCATGGTTAATTTTGTTAACAAGTGTGATGGTATGTGTAGTGATAACGCTGACAGAAAATCATTCGCATGTTTATTACATACGAAAACTGTTATGTGTTATTTTGTATGCAACAGTATTTGTATGTTAATTTGTATGTTAACTGTTATTTGTTATGTAACGAAATATCTTTTATACGATGTTCGTGTAGTGCAATACAAATTTGTTTCCATTGCTTTTTTGATAAATATTACTCAGTCGTATGTAATAATACAGATTAAAAGTATACTCTTTGTATTTGAAAACATATATACGTCCGTAGACACTGTTAAACAGCTGTATTAACAATACAAATAGAAAATAATTTACTCAAATTTACATAATTACACATAAACGTGTTCATAATACAGTAATCTCGCGTTGAATGCAACACGAAAACCACCCGATGAATCCTACATTGTCATCCCCACCACTGGGGAAGGGGGCCATGGATCTTGTCAAGCGCTTAATTTTTTGCTCGGTGCGTCGCGGCGGCTTCCGTTTGACGAGTCGACAGCTGAACGAGAGAAGATCAAGAAAATATTACATGCCCGGGTATCGGGTGGCACGACACTAATGTAACAATGAAACTTTTTTATTTTTGGTTCTCTGTTGATAAAACTTTTCTTAACATACTGGTGAGGTTATTCGGATTTCAAGGATACCAAACACGGTATAATTTAAAACATATTTACTTATGTAGAAGGTATTAAAAATTCATATTCTTTTATTATTGCGTCTGATGAAGTATAAATGTAAAAAAATGTTGGAGCCTTTGTTTATTGTGTACAAAAGTGTCAGAAAGATTTAAAATGGTACAATATTAAATGTCGGAAGGAAAAGAAATAAACGCGCACGTAGGCATACGTATACAGTTGCTCACGAAAGTATTCGAACGCACCGCCGCTGTCTTCAACCCGTCGTGTAACAGTTTATCCCGTGTCATACTCGGGCAGATCGTCAAGCTCTCGAACTTGCGACATACGTCGCCGGTACGGAAGGCAGTACGCGGTGCCGACTCAGTCGGTTGCCAAAGAATGAGTTAGAATTCCGGATGGATATCCACCCTTTATTTGTCTAAAATGGGTGCCTATGCACAGTGTCTGACGGTGACTAGCGATACCGAATATACTATGGTGAACGCTATGCGAATAGATCGCGAATACAGCGGTGTAAGCGAGATACAGAATATAATGCAGAGATGCGAATAGATCGCGAATACGGCGGTGTAAGCGAGATACAGAATATAATGCAGAGATGCGAATAGATCGCGAATACGGCGGTGTAAGCGAGATACAAAAGATAATAGAGAGATGCGGGTAGATCGCGAATACAGCGGTGTAAGTGAGATACGAAATATAATACAGAGATGCGAGTAGATCGCGAATAGAGCGGTATAAGTGAGATACGAAATGTAATACAGAGATGCGAATAGATCCCGAGTACGACGGTGTAAGCGGGACGCGACGCACTTGTCTGACATACTTCCACGGAATAGATTAACGGCGACTCTCTGAGTCCTCTGGAGAGCTGCTCGTTGCCTCACGTATTGTGAGAGAAAGTGGAGGAGCAGAAGCGGGCGTACACCGGACCAGACGATCCAGACGCGTCTATAGGTCGGAACCCACAGGGAGTCGGGCTATACTCGTGCCGGTTTGCTTTACACGTTCCTGGGCCTAGACCCGACGAGCGGAGGGTGGAGTAGAAGCGGGCTATACTGGAGCAGACGATCAAGATGCGCCTATAGGTCGGAACCCACAGGGAAACGGGCTATACTCTTACGAGACCCGACGGGAACGGAAAGTGGAAGGATACAAGCAGCGAAATCACACACAAAATATATTTAACACCCGGAATAATATGTCGGACAAGATTCTCGGTAGCCACTTCACCATGCGGTCTAGCCGAGTAACCTGCTTTTGACCAGTGGGCCGCGAATCTTCAGCCGGCGGCTTACAATTTCGCTTGCAAGAATGACTCACCGTAATGAGCCATCTCGTGGCCGCAGGATTCCGGGAATCCAGTGACGTCACGGCGTGCGAGAGAGAGAGGGAGAGCGAGCCGCCGTATCGGAGCTCTCCGTCGGTGTCGACGCGTACCGAACGGTGCCAGAGATGGCCGGAGCTGGCGAACGGGGGAGAGTGAGAGCGGTAGAGCGAGCCGCGGTATCGGTGCTCTCCGTCGGTATTGCCGCGTGCCGATGTTATATCCTGTATTTCATAACCTCTTTTCATTGCACATCTTTACCATATTACTTTACAACGCGAAGAACGAGCAAAAATCGTTAATTCAGTGATACGTGGAAGCAACAGAGTGATTGTCCCCTTTTTCGGAACGCTGACGGAAACGTCAGCGATTCTGTAACCTCGTTTCCAGAGCATCGGGAATCACAGCCTGTTGCTATCCCGTATCTTGCGCGTTTCCCAACAAAAGGAAAGGGGAAAGTACACATAAAAGGGATTGTTCAAAACCAGGTTAGGAGTTAACAGTCAAAGAGAGTTAAAGAGTCAGAGTCAGAGTGTGTCAGTCAGTCAGTAAGTTAAGGCTCATATTTCGGCAGTCGTGCCAAACGGTGCTTCGTCGGCAAGCTGAGCGACAACGGTCACTCAGCTGTTCAGATCGGGTTTCGCGACGATATCTCTTCCGTGTGCGACGCGACTTTGCGATTACGTGCGGCCTAACAGGCGAGTTCGATAAGACACCGGACCGCGAAGTGTGGCGTCCGAGACAGTGACAACGTATCCCGCAGTGCCCGATCCCTGCATCACGGCTCCGAGCGTCAGCAAGTCTTCCGCCCTTACAAGGACCCGTAATCCCGATCAAACCGACTGAGACCGAACGAGCGTATCATTCATCTTCATCACCATTGGTATGTTAAGACTTATATGTATCTTTCATTTTTATTTGGATTGTTAGAATATATCTTATTATCGTTATAAACCAGAGTGATTTCCGATTCCTCCCGTTCCAAATCCAAACCGCGTACTTCACCGATAAGTTTAGACAGGGCGTGCTTTAGCACCTTAAAAGAGCCAGGACCCGAAATTATAAATAAAGTAACGACCGCAACGCGAAAGGTAACACCGACGAATTTCGGTGGTCGATGGGGGGAGGTGTGTGAGTGAAAGAGTACGATAGAGCGTGCCGCGGTATCGGTACTCTCCGCCGGACCAACGCGTTAGTGACTGTTGCGGATTGGTACGAAGAGGAAAGAGAGCGCCATCTAGGAACACGGGGGCGAAGCGAGAGAGACGCGCAGGTGGGGAAGGAGAATGAGTCGGTACTGGTTAGGACAGCACCGAATAAAACTTCAAATATTACAAAAAGGGCACCACCGACTCCTAGTTAATTTACCCTGGTCATTACCTATTCCTAACATTGTGGCGACCGTGACAGGACCAGGTGGTAATCGATACAGAAAGTGAGTTCAGTGGTACAAAAAGGTAGTAAACAGAGAGGTTAGAGAATCGGCGTGGCCGGTGCGTAAAGAAAAGTGTTGAAAAGATGGAGGCCGTTAAGAGACAGAGACGAGCTAACAGAATGTCCTTCACGAAGGTGCATAATGCTTTCGCAGCAACAATGCAAGAAGACACGTCTACACGAGAAGAAAAGATCGTTGCGTTCCAACTTTTGGAAGCCAAGATGACGGAGCTGAACGAGGCGCACGTGGCGTTTAATAACGCACTGTTTCAGTCCGACCTTGACGACGAGGCCATTGCAAAAGAGTTGGAAACGGATGATGTGTACAAAACAAACTTTTTGAAGGCCAAATTAAATATGGCCGATCTTCTGGGCACATCAGAGCCTCATCATAGGGTCCCCGCCGGGGCTGAGAAAAAAATAATGAAACTCCCGAGGATAGAACTGCCCAAATTCAACGGCAGTGTAAAGGAATGGCTCCCTTTTTGGAGCCAATTCAAGAAAATCCACGACGACCAGACGATTGGTAGAGGGGATAAGTTCCAATACTTGCTACAGGCCATAGTTGCGGGGTCCAGAGCCAGCGAACTGGTAAACAGTTTTCCGCCTACCGAGGAAAATTATGTAAAGGCAGTGACAAGTTTAAAAAATCGTTTTGGCCGAGACGATAGAGTGGTGGAGTTTTATAGCTGCTGGGGCATGTGTTGCAAAATGCTGTGAAAGGGAACAAAAGGCCATCGCTCGCGAGCCTCTATGATAAGTTAGAATCCTATATTCGCGCGCTTGAGACACTAGGGGTCGCGACGGACAAATGTGCCGCGATGCTGTACCCGTTGGTAGAGTCATCTCTTCCGGAAGAGGTGTTACGGGCATGGCAGCGCAACGGACAGCGAGAAGCGGCGAACGCGAACGAGGAAGGAGAGACAAAGGATCGGTTGACGAGAATGCTGACTTTCCTGCAGTGCGAAGTGGAGAACGAAGAACGTATAGACATGGCTCTACAGAGCTTCCAAATCTCCACGGAAGGAGAAGGATGCAGGAGACCGGAGAACAAGCCGGAGTCGACCAAGGAGCCCTGCTGACCTCGAAAGAAGAGAGACAGACAGTATGTGTATTTTGCAAAGGTAGGCACGAAAGTCAGGAGTGCGAAACCGCGAGGAAGATGACTTTTGGCGACGATTTGCAAGACACCCGAAGTCTGTCTACAGACGTTGCGCGTCAAGTTGTATTCCGATTCGCGAGAAATAACAGTAAGGGCGATTATAGATACGGCTTCGCAGCGTTCGTATATTCGCGCGGACATTGCGACAGAGATAGGTTATGTACCGCGCGGAGAGATCGAAGTGACACATTCACTGTTCGGCGGTGTCAGGTCAAAGACAAAGAAACACAATGTTTTCGTGATTCGAATGAGAAGTTTGGATGAATCCTACGCGTGTAACTTCTCCGTAATAGGCGAAGACACGATTTGTGAAACGATTCCGTGTATTTCCGGAGATACGTGGGTAGATAAATTACGCGAGAAGAAAATTATTTTATCCGACATAGGCAGTCAGGAAAACTCGATACAGGTTCTTATAGGCGCGGACGTTGCCGGAAAATTATTTACTGGAGAAAAGTATGACATGGGTAACGGTCTCGTCGCGATGGAAACACTTCTCGGATGGACGGTTATAGGGAAATTAAACAAGCAATCGAGAGAGAAACGCGATACAGCTACAATGTTTACGTCAATGTTTGTGCAACAGGCGGACGTATCAGAGTTGTGGCGCTTGGACATTCTAGGTATCAATGATCCAATAGAAAAGGTAAGTGAAACGGCTAGAAATGATAGCACGCGGGATTTTATAAGAAAGACAATGGTCGAGGAGAACGGTCGGTATATGGTTCGACTTCCGTGGAAACAGGATCATTCGTTTTTGTCTAAGAATCGTGATATCGCAGAGCATAGGTTGTCGACGACGATCGACAAATTAAACAGACAAAATCTCTTTTCCGACTATGACGACGTTTTCAAGAATTGGCTCGCGGAAAATATAACTGAAAGGGTTTCCGAGGAACACGGGGGAAGCGCGTGTCATTATCTGCCGCATCGACCGGTTATAAAGTTAAACAGTACGACGAAGATTAGACCAGTATTCGACGCGTCGGCTAATAGAAAAGGGTATCCGTCGCTTAACCGATGCCTTGAAAAAGGACCTAATCTTATAGAACTTGTGCCGTCGTCGTTAAATAGATTTCGCGAAAGAAGGATAGGAGTTATTTCGCACATTAAGGGCGCGTTTTTACAAATCGTAGTACAGAGAGAAGACAGAGACTTTCTTCGGTTTCTGTGGCAGGTGGACGGAAGAACAGTGGTTCTTAGACACTGTCGCGTGGTTTTTGGATTATCTCCTAACCCTTTTCTGTTGTCCGAGATACTGACGATGCATTTAGAGAAGGCCTTGAAACTCGCGAAAACTGATAAAAAATGTTCATGGTCTGAAAAATCAGTCCAGAAATTAAAGGAATCTTTCTATGTAGACAATGGCGTGACGAGTGTTAATTCAATGGAAGAGCTGCATTTGTTCATACGGGAAGCTCAACTGTCATGGCTATGGGGAGTTTTGATTTACGCGGATGGGAATATTCAGGAAATTGCTCGGAAAATGCAACTACAAGTGTACTCGGAATTTTGTGGAACAAAGAAAGGGATACGATAAGTATTAATCCGACGGTAGTAGATTTAGAGTCGCCAAAGATCCTAACGAAGAGAAGTATTTTGTCGGGTGCACATAAAGTATTCGATCCGATCGGCTTTACTTTCCCTGTGTCTCTGCAGCCGAGAATTCTACTCACGCAGTTGTGGCTAGAAGGAAAAAACTGGGATGAAAAAATTAATGACAAGCGAAGCGACGAGTTCTTGCGATGGATGAATGAATTACCTATATTAAAGCAAATAGAATTGCCGCGAGGAATCGGAGAGGGTAAACTGTCGATTCATTCGTTCGGGGATGCGAGCGGAGCGGCCTATGCCGCTGTAGTATTCGCGAGAGTCGAATCGGAAAACTTTATCGATGTACAGTTGCTGAGCACGAGGAATCGGATAGCGCCAAAGAACGCGACTATACCTCGCCTTGAGTTGATGGCGGCTACGATAGCCGTGAGACTTACTGACTCGATTCTCGAGTCATTAACTCGGCGTGTGGAAAGCGTGACGTATTGGTCCGATTCTACTACGGTCCTAGCGTGGTTAAAGCGCGATATTCAGTGGGGTGCATTTGTTTATAATCGAGTCAAAGAAATCAGAACGTCGAGCGACGCAGGTAGATGGAGATACGTTCCGGGCGATTTGAATCCAGCCGATTTGCCGTCGCGGGGTTGTAGTGCGTCGCAGCTTGTAGGGTCACAATGGTGGTTAGGTCCGAATTGGCTTAGAAAAGATGAAAGATGAGTTATTGGCCTTCTGTAGAAGAGGATGTAAATGAGAACATAGTAAAGAACGAAATCAAGAAGAGTCCGCTTGTAAATATGGTAAATGCTCAGGACTCATCATTTAAAGCGAGTAAATTGTTCTCTACATATACGAAACTCGTACGTTTCATAGCATGGATGCGTAGATTCCTAATAAATCGGAAAATATTGGTCGAAAAATGCGAATCAGGAAGGCGCAATGTTTCAGATGTACAGGAAGCGCCGAAAACCCCGTATTTGACCAAAGAAAAGCGAAAGAAGTTGTATCTATCAGTAAGTGAAGTCAAAAAAGCAGAAGTTAGTTTACTGAAACATTTGCAGAAACTTATGTTTACAAATACGGATAAGAGTAAATTGTCGTCTTTTAAAGTATTGTTAAATAATGATGGGCTATATGTTGTAAAAACAAAGATCCTCAACCGAGACGACGATAGCATGTTTTTGTCTCCTATTATTTTAGACAAGCATGATATTGTAACTTTGCTCGTGAGAGAGACACATGACAAGGGTGGACATGCTGGAACGCAAATTGTAATGAACACGTTACGTGAACAATTTTGGATTATTTCCTTACGCCAAATTGTTAGATCCGTTCTATGCGTAGTATCCGTTAAATGCGTTGTTTGTAAGAGATACAAGACAAAACATATGCAATGTGAGCCACCTCCACTCCCCGTTATGCGCGTACGCGATTCAAGAGTTTTTGAAGCTACTGGGATAGATTTTGCGGGACCACTTTTTATTAAAGGTGGGGGGAAGGGGTGGATATGCATATTTACATGCGCAGTGTATAGAGCCGTACATTTTGAGTTAGCGTCATCTTTGTCTGCGGATGGGTTCATAGAATGTCTTCGTAGGTTCATAGCTAGACGCGGACGACCACGTCATATATTCACCGACAAGGGGACAAATTTTACCGGTACGGCTAAACCGCTAGAGGGTCTTGATTGGGAGAAAATTATTAAACAAACGTCGGTACAGCAAATCGAGTGGCGTTTCAACCCACCATCAGCACCGTGGTGGGGAGGCTGGTGGGAAAGACTTATAGGCGTCCTAAAGACGATTTTGCGGAAGATTTTAGGAAAGGCTAGCCTGACATATGAAGGTTTAGCGACGTCTCTTTGTGATGCAGAAGCGGTAGTTAACTCCCGCCCACTGACATACGTATCGGATGATCCGGAGAGTCTAAAACCGTTAACCCCGGCAATGTTTATTAAAGAAATCGAAGAATGCGGAGTGCCGGAGTTGGATATGCTTTGCAATCGAAAATTAAATAAAAAATGGCAATATAGGCAAAAGATACGGAACGATCTTCGAGCTAGATTTCGATTAGAATATTTAAGTCAACTGCTACTTAAAAAGGCTAAAAAGGAGACACGAGAAATCAGGATTGGGGACATAGTCTTAATAGGCGATGATACACACAAGCGAGTAGATTGGCCGTTAGCACGAATTGTCGAGACGATTTCAGGACGAGATGGTAAAACACGAGTATATGTATTGAAAACAAAAAACGGATTGTTAAAAAGGCCAATACAACGAATTTACCCTCTAGAAGTAGCGCAAGAAAGTAGCGAACTTGTTAAAGAATTAAATAATAAGGTAGTTAATAAGAATTCTGTAGTCAATCCGAAATAGAATAATGTAAGAAGCGTGAATGACAGTTATGAGGAGTGTAATACTGAAACTGTTAAAACGAGAAGTGGAAGAATGAGTAAGAAACCGGACAGATTTAAATGTTAAGTGATATGCAATCTTTGTAAATGCGTCTGGTGTAGACATAACGATGATTCTTCAAAGGGGGGAGGATGTTGCGGATTGGTACGAAGAGGAAAGAGAGCGCCATCTAGGAACACGGGGGCGAAGCGAGAGAGACGCGCAGGTGGGGAAGGAGAATGAGTCGGTACTGGTTAGGACAGCACCGAATAAAACCTCAAATAGTTATATTACAAAAAGGGCACCACCGACTCAAGTTAATTTACCCTGGTCATTACCTATTCCTAACAGTGACGTTTCGTCACAAACTGTTTAGTCCGAGTAAGACTCGGAATTTTAAGAAACGAACTGTGCGTCGTGTTTTCCCGTGTGCTATAGCGCTATAGCCAGCTTGTGCATTAACCGAGTCGTCGCTTGCAGTGAAGCCAGAATACGGAATACGAACGACAGCGAATGGAAAAGAAAGAGAGGTCTGCGTGTCGGTGATACCAAACTCGGCTACCTCGACTCTGACCTGTCTTTCTTTTGCATTCGCTGTCCTTCGTATTCCGTATTTTGGTTCACCGCGATCGACTGTTGCAAGTCGATGCGACACGGGGAATGCGAGTGATGCGACAAGGATGCGAGGCTAGGATTAGGACCCAGAGAGCTGTCGACGAATCACATTAAAAGAATCACTTCGATTGGCCAAAAAGGTACGACAAAAAGCGTACGAGACATACCGAGACCGAGCAAGATAACGTGAGCCGTAGGCGGCCACAATGTAGTCATTGGCCGGCGAAAGCATCACAGGCGGGCCACGTAGACAAGTCGAGTGGAACTAGAAGCTTTCTCTCTGTTTTCTAATCGGTTGTCCTTTTCTACGTTCGGAACTCTACAAAAGCAAGCTGTCGAGGCTCGAGTTTCAAGCAAA